TCAGCTACGGTATTCACGTAGCTGAAGTTGCGTATCTTAGGTCGGAAGTCCGCTGTAGTGTAGACCTAGCCTAAGAGGCCAAAGTGGCAGAGAGTTATTACATTGAATACAGTTACTCTTGTGTACAGTAACTCCTCACTTAACGTCGTCCCGGTTAACGTTGTTTCGTTGCTGATCAATTAGAGAACACACTCATTTAAAGTTGTGCAATGCTCCACTCTTATGTTGTTTGGCTGCCTGCTTTCTCCACAGCTAGCAGCCTCCCTACGCCGCTCCCCCCACAGCGCCTCCCGCCCGCCGGCAGACCCCGTGGATCAGCGCCTTCCCCCTCCTCCCCCAACCTCCTGCCCACGGCAATCAGCTGGCTTGTGGCATTTAGGAGGCAGGAGGGAGGGGGGAGGAGCGAGGACTGGGCGTGCAGGCTCCCCCCCGCCTCCTGTCCGCGGCAATCAGCTGGCTTGCAGCGTTCAGAAGGGAGGGGAGGGAGTGGGGAGGAGCGAGGATGCAGTGTGCAAAGTAAAGGGGGAGGAGGTGTGGGGGAGGAGAAGAGGCGAATCAAGGGTGAGGGCTTGGGAGAAGGGGTGGAGTGGATGGGTCGGGGTTGAGCCCCCTGCCCCCGGCAAAGTCAGTGCCTGTGCTTGCAAGAACAGCAAGAGGAGCAGCCGGACAATCCATCCTCTTCCACTCTCTGACTCCACCACCTCAACCAAGCTTCATACTCAGAGATGATGACTGTAGTATTAAATTGTTTCTTTAAAATGGTTTAAAACTTATACCTGTATTAAATTGCTTGTTTAAAATGTATATAATGCCTTTTGTCTGGCAAAAAAAAAAAAATCCCTGGAACCTAACCCCCCCTATTTACATTATTTTTTATGGGGAAATTGGATTCGCTTAACATCGTTTCACTTAAAGTCGCATTTTTCAGGAACATAACTACAACATTAAGTGAGGAGTTACTGTACTACTGAAGTCAATGGGACTCTGTGCAGGAGTAACTGTCTGTGTAAGGATCACTTTTCACAGGATCAGTCCCTAAAGACTGTAGGATTTGGCCCATTATTAATTATGATGATAACAATGATCCAATTTTTGTATTTTGTTTCTTGTTTTTCCCCCACTGTCATTTAAATGACGGTAAATGTGATAGAGGACAGAGAAGGTGGGTGAAGTGATATCTTTTACTGGACCAACTTCTGCTGGTGAGAGAGACAAGCTTTCGAGCTTACACAGGTCAAGACCTAGTTCAATGAAAGATACTACCTCACTCAGCTTGTCTTGCTAATATCCTGGGACCAACATGGCTACAACAACACTGCAAACAGTAAACTTGATGTAAGTGAATGGTGGCACCTTCCCATTCAGTTAAATGGGGCTGCATGTTGAGCCGGGGTTGCTACTGCCACGTGTGCTCATTATGAAATGTATGTGGCTCAGGTGTTTCATACTATTTATTTTTATCAAAATGATTGTGAAAGTGATTTGCCTACAAATGGGTATAAGCTGCCTGGAGAAACAACCGTAACATTGTATCTTTAAAAAAGAAGCCATTTTTCGTGAGCAGGAAAAGGGTCTGAAGCCATGTGAGAATTATGATCTTTAAGATGAAACTCAGGTTGTTATTTTTTAAAATCTAGGCAGATAATTTTTAGATCAAGTTTCTAGGGTTGATTTGAAGTCACAGGGGACCCATGTGCATGGCTGGCTCAGGCTTTTTTGCCACCCTAAGCAGCGAAGGGGGAAAAAAAAAAAAGCCGCGATTGGCGGCACTTCGGCGGAGCTCTACCGCGCCGCTTCATTCCTCGGCAGCAATTCGGCAGCGGATCCTTCACTCCAAGAGGGACTGAGGTACCCGCTGATGAATTGCCGCCGAAGACCTGGACGTGCTGCTCCTTCCCATTGGCCGCTCCAAGCACCTACTTTGTACACTGGTGTCTGGAGCTGGCCCTGCCCATGTGAACATCAAACAGAGGCTTCAGCGCTGTCCATAAGATTGCGAGAACTTTCACTTTCAAATCTGCCCCAAGAACTGGAGCCCCTGAGGCAGCAGATTCTGCAGGGCCTAGGTTCACCCTGCAAGGTTGAGTAGTTGAGATTTAAAATAGGCTATATACTAAGTCCTGAAAACAGAGTTCTGTAATGGACGCTTTTTAATGGTGTTGCTGCAATAACATGTACAGGGTTACAAAATGTGCACACTTCATTACCCAACGTACAGTAGCGTTTACATAGTCCTGCCGGATCTTTCATCTCTCAGACAGCAGGAAATGACACAGATGTGTTATTAGGGAGGAAAATCCATCAGCAAGCACAATAAATCAGTCGTGGGTAACACTTCCATCCATGCTTTGGGCCTGACAATATCTTTCTAAATCACCTAGCTAGACATTCAGCCTGCTACCATGAAACCCAAGACAAAGTAAACTTCACCCTTCAATGAACTGAGTTACTGTTTTGTAAAAGTGCACAAGGTTTATGCATCTGTTAGTGAGGTGTGAAATTGCTCAGTGTCACTCAGTGCTTTACCAGGGGGTCTGCTTCTCGGAGATGGAGCATTACACAGGGTATTGCCTTCATTTCACAGGTGCCATTTTGGGGAATGGTCAAAGGAGGGGACTGGTTCTTTTATTAACCATAAAATCTGAATATGTGAAAATGACATATTAAAGGTTTTTTTTTAGCTTATACTTTTTTTTTTCCTTCTAACCCACGCACCCTCCCCCCCAATTCCAATATCTTCTGCCTTCTCCACAAATGAAGACAGCCTTGTTCCTGCTTATGTAGGCTGCTAACACAATTAGAGGTTTTTTTTCCCCACTGGAATACAAGGCTGTTTATATCACTCTCTCGTCTGTTATGTCGTCTGACTAGCTCCAAAGAGCGAGGTCTGTTTGGTGCCTAGGTTTCATTATTACAGTGACATGTGGGAAATGTCATGAACAAATAGCCGTTACAAAGGCGACGTGCATTTCTGTAGCTTACCAAGAATCAGCAGCTGTGTGCTTTCAGTCACCTCCCCACGAAGATTGGCTGCCCTGCAGGAGTATAACCCCTGATCGGACAGAGTTACATTTGCAATCAGCAATGAGCCATCATGCAGATGATAGGCAGGGGCCAGCTTGATCCTATTCCTCAACCAAGTAACTTCTGCTTCAGGTACACCTGGAAAGGCATTAAAAAGAATAGGAGCTGGATGGAGGTTTTACTACTAGGGACAGACAAAACAGTTGGGATAAAATAATAATCAAAACAAGCCTTTAACCAAACTTCCAGCCCAAGGCTTTTTGAGATTCAAGAGAGTTTGGTCAACTCTTTCAATACATTAAAATATATATTAAGATAAAATAAATGCCTTTGGATTTCCTGGATCCACTCTGGCCTGGAAATAGAAGGGCCACACTTTTCCGAGGGATGATTTTATAGTAAGATTTGTGTTCTGACTATAAGCAGACAGCACCACTGGAAATCCTAAGAGAAAGCCTGTTCTTATGAGATTTTCAGTCCAATTTAGCAGAGGGAAAGGAGACCCTTTTCTATAGCTTCTTCCCATGTCATGATCTAACACAGGGGCAGCATACAAGGAACAGAACATCCCCCTCTGCAGCACCAGCATGGAGGTACCACCACCTGCGTAGGACTGTCTCACCTTCATTGACTGGTCTCTATGTAATATCACTGAAGAATGTTCTGTATTTTACAATACGGTGCAGATAAACAGGGAAGAGATACATCAGGATAAGCAGTTGATTTAGTGGAGCTACACCTGGCTAGAGAATTTTTCAGATTTCCACACTTATGGTTCAAATTTCACTAACTCCTTCAACTTCCCATTTGTTGTCTAATCCCAAGGTTCTTACACTTTTTCCACAGTGCGAAGTGCATGTGAAAATGGCAACTGTCTTGTGGGCCACCCTCGCCATCACGATCATATAACATCCTTGTGGCAATCGCTTACAGAGCAAAGTAATATTTAGGAACATATTGTATTTTTACAATCTTTTAAGATGATTTAGAAGCTGAGAACACGGCGCAGGAGACAGTACCATGTGATGAGCCACCTGTTGGTGGGCCACTAGCAAGTGCTCTACAGACCACAAGTGGTCGATAGATGACAGTTTGTGAACCACAGGTCTAATCCTTTGATATAGGCTGAGGAGACTCTTCCTTGGGGCTGTTACCCCAACAGGAATTTGAAGTGTATGTTTATCTGTGACTATCTGTTCAGAAAGACAGATCTTCCCAACAAACGAATGGTTTGAGGCAGTTGGGAGGGTGCTGTACATTTTATGGTAAGAAGTCTATTAGACTAGAAGAGGTCAGTTATTTTTGGAGAGTATTAAGATACAAAGTAGCCTTTTGAAATCCCCCAGACCTGCTGCAATTGACTATTAAAGTGTGACCCTACCTTCCACTTCGGTCCAAGTAAACTGGCAAGGACAGGGTACAAAAATTTAAACAAGGTTTGAAGTCTGCCTGGTAGTTATCCCAGTTTGTAAAACAGACAGTCTCCACCTCTGATCTCTGTACTCTTTCACATAACAGGGTTACTTCTGTCTTCCTTTTTCCTCTAAATCCGTGGTTTAAAGCCACCCCAGTGCAGGTAATTCCTTGCCATCGGACAGCTGTTCGGTAGCTTAGGCAGAAGGAACTGGTGGTCTCAATACAATCCTTGTGGTAATGTGCCCACATCATGAAAACCATCATACAATTGGCAATTTTGTTGTCAGTCACAGCAGAAAGACAAGGACCCAGGGGGCACAGAGAATGAACACATCTCTAGGGACTAGGCAGGCACTGCATGAAGTCTCAATGGCTAACTTATTCTAAATGTTCCATGGGGCCAATAAGCACCATACAGTGCTAAGCAGCCAGAGCTTGAAAGAGAACAGCTTGCCCACTTCTGCAGCATCAGGATGCTCTGCCTGTTTTGCATCCCCCCCGCACCACCAGCTGACTTTGCCAGCATGTGGCACGTGCCTTCAGTGCCACGCCAATTTAGGCACAATCCATTCTATAATAGGTATTTCTGCTTTCACGTCTAATACAGTAGCTGCACTACTTCAGGCTGCTTACAATGAATCACATCTTCATGTTACCAGCACTGCCAATCCCAATCATTCAAAAATCATGAGCCAGGCTTAAACAAACAAACAAAAAAAACCACCAGGAGATTTAAAAAAAAAATGTTTGGAGCTCTTTTTCTTTGCTTTCTGAGCCTTTTGGGTGCATGTGGTCACATTTTCAAACTTTTATCTGCAACTGTGAGGCTAGAAATTTGCCTTTTTTTGTTAATGAAAGCTGAGATCTTCCACAATCACATGACCCCCGGAGCTGGGACTTTAAGAAAAACATCAGATATGGCAATACTTGTGATCACAACAGTTGCCAACACCGTATTACATTAATTCACTTCTTTGCAGATGACTGCATATCTATTCAGATGGGCCAAATCCTGAAAGACTTACCCAGCTCTTACTCTGGTAAAACTCTCATTCACGTCAAAGAGCGTTTTGCTTCAATACGTACCACCAAGGATTTCAGGATCTAGTCTGTACACCACTGTACAATCTGCAGCTACCTTTGCTACAGAACAGATAACTATGTACATCCAAAGAGTACAGAACATCTATAAACACCTTCTCTGACCACCTGTACAAAAAGGTCACTCTTCCTTTCTTCTTTAATCTAAAGCTTCCAAGTTAAACATAAATGTATTGCAACCAAATGTTATAGCAGCACAGAGCAAACTGGATGGGGGAGGATGAGAAGAAATGTAGATCTCAATGAGCAGCAACTTTGTTATTGTGTATCCTTCTTACATGCGTGGCTTACACAGGTTTATACTACGGAAACAGGTAATGAAATCAAGGTCCTAGCAAGCTGGCAAACACTTCATGAAATATAAAGATGCAGGTGCAAACATGTGCAAAGCCACTCTTCCAAAGCCTCACCACAAGGGGGAGCAAGAGCATTTCAGTCAGCCCCAGCTTTCTGTTTTGTCATGCAGTTGTCCAGAGGAAAAGTAGCCTAAATAATAGTGTCCAATATAGGAGAGAATGCAGTTTAAAGAAAATAATAATAGAAAATGAATGGCTGAGAGAAGGGAACTGAAACCAAGTCTCCAGCGTGAAGTCATAATACAATACTTTTCATAAATGTGAAGGAAAGAGCAGCCTTCAGGATCAGTTCCTCAGCTGGTGAAAGTTGGCATCACTAATTTGGTTTCAATGGAACTACATCACTTTACACCAGGTGAGGATCTGGCCCTAAGCCATTTAAATTTCCCTTTGGAAGTAAGATTCTTTTGCCTTTGTGAACTTTTCTTTTGCTGAGCCTATTGGGCATTGAATGATGGTGTTTACACCGGCAAGCCAATACTTGCTAATAGTATTTATGCCCCCTGAAGACTTCCCTTTTCTCCATTCTTCTTCAATAGCAGACGTCAACAACTTTATTCCTCTACCTTTCACTGGACTTAGTTTATCCCTCACACAAAAGGCTGACTGGTATAAGTGACAAGCAGCATGCTAATTCCGCTGCTCCTTTAGCTATATGATGTGCATATTCTGTTAAAGGCAATTTGGAGATCTTACAACAAAAACTAGTTTCCAGTGCTGTGATGTTCTGAAATAGTGATACTTTTACGGACAGTGTTGTAGTGATAATGAGCAACCAAGGCTTAAAGAGAAAGCCAGGAGCCCAAAAGAAAACTCTTGCGTTTGAATGAAACACAGAGAAGAAACTTAGGGAAGAGTTGGAGGAATGAAGAACATAAAATACAAGGAAAAGAGAGAGTTTGCAAAAAATATTAAGTTGCCCCTTCTAATTTGGCCAGAGTCAGTAGTGACCAACACCAGATTTTTAAAACTGACCTCACTTTTAGCATAATCGCATCACTCAGGGGTGTGAAAAATCCATACCCCTGAGTGGTGTAGTTAAGGTGATTTAAGGACCTTGTTGACAGAAAAGGAAGTTATTCACCTTGTGCAGTAACGATTGTGCTTCGAGATGTGTCCCCCTATGGGTGCTCCACTGTAGGTATATGTATGTCCCTGCGCTTCTGATCAGAGATGTTTGGTAGCAGTGTCCATTCAGCCCACACACTTGCTCTCCCCCCCTCGAGGCTAATTAGTGCTGCGGGGGCGAATGACCTTCAGTTCCTTCTCTACCGAATAGTCCTTATCAAGAACTCCGAAGTAGAGGGGAGGAGGGAGGGTTGTGGAGCACCCATAGGACACACATCTTGAAGAACCATCATTACTGCACAAGGTGAGTAACTTCCTCTTCTTCTTCGAGTAGTGTCCCTACAGGTGCTCCACTGTAAGTGACTCCCGAGCAGTATCCCTAATCGGAGGTTGGGGCTTTGGAGTACAGTCTGTTCTGGATGATAATACGGTAGAGCCAAAGCTAGCATTGGAAGTAGAGTCTCCAATAATCGCATAGTGTTCTGTGAAGGTATGTACAGATGCCCAGGTGGCTGCTCTGCAGATTTCCAAGAGAGGGACATTCTTGAGGAAGGCGACAGAGGAGGAAACTGACCTTGTGGAGTGTGTGCAAATTCCAGATGGAGGTACTATAATGTGAACATGCTAGCAGAGCTAATACAGTTTGAGACCCATTTTGAGAGCTTCTGGGCCAATACTGATGTGCCTTTAGACCTTTCCGCAATGGAAAGAAAGAGCTTGAGAGATTTCCTAAAAGTCTTCGTCCTGTCCAGGTAGATGGCCAGGGCTCTCCTAAAGTCTACCGTGTGCAGCATGGCCTCTGTTATTACGGTGAGGCTTGGGATAAAAGGCTGGGAGGTGAATTGGTTGGTTCATGTGAAAAGATGAGGACACCTTGGGAATAAACTTTGGGTGTGGCTTCAGAATAACCTTGTCATGAAAGAATACTATAAAGAAGGTGTGCCTTAAGTGCTGCTATTTCCCCTATTCTCCTCACTGAGGTGATGGCCATGAGAAATGCGGTCTTCATTGATAGGTGTGTAAGCCAACAGGTGGCCATAGGTTCAAAGGACTGTCTAGTCAGGCTCTTTAAAACTAGATTCAGGTCCCATGTTGGAGTGGGGCATCTGGGTTGGGGAAACTGGTTCGTTATGCCCTTGAAGAATCTCTTTGTAGTTGGGTATGAGAAAACTGAATATCCCTCTACTTGTTGATGGA